GTGGTGGTGGTTGATTGGTATTGTTGTTCTTGTTGGTGGTGGTGGTGGTTGTATTGTTGTTGTTGTTGGTGGTGGTGGTTGTGGAATTATTGTTGTTGTTGTTGGTGGTGGTGGTATTGTTGTTGTTGGTGGTGGTGGTGGTATTGTTGTTGTTGTTGTTGGTGGTGGTTGGTGGTATTGTTTTTGTTGTTGTTGTTGGTGGTGGTGGTATTGTTGTTGTTGGTGGTGGTGGTGGTGGTGGATTTGTTGTTGTTGTTGGTGGTGTTATTGTTGTTGTTGTGGTGTTGGTGGTATTTGTTTTTGTTGTTGTTGGTGGTGGTGGTGGTATTGTTTTGTTGTTGTTGGTGGTGGTTGTGGTATTGTTGTTGTTGTTGTTGGTGGTGGTGTTATTGTTGTTGTTGGTGGTGGTGGTGGTATTGTTGTTGTTGGTGGTGGTGGTGATGGTATTGTTGTTGTTAATTGGTGGTGATGGTATTGTTTGTTGTTAGTGGTGGTGATGGTATTATTGTTGGTGGTGGTGATTGTTATTGTTGTTGTTGTTGGGTGGTGGTGGTGGTATTATTGTTGTTGTTGTTGGTGGTGGTAGTGGTATTGTTGTTGTTGTTGGTGGTGATTGGTATTTTGTTGTTGGTGGTGGTCTTATTGTTGTTGGTGGTGGTGGTGATGGTATTGTTTGTTGTTGTTGGTGGTGGTAGTGGTATTGTTGTTGTTGTTGGTGGTGGTGGTGTTCTTGTTGTTGGTGGTGGTCTTATTGTTGTTGGTGGTGGTGGTGATGGTATTATTGTTGTTGTTGTTGGTGGTGGTATTGTATTGTTGTTGTTGTTGGTGGTGGTGGGATTATTGTTGTTGTTGTTGGTGGTGGTGGTATTATTGTTGGTGGTGGTGGTGTTATTGTTGTTGGTGGTGGTTGGTGGTATTGTTGTTGTTGTTGTGGTGGTGGTGATGGTATTGTTGTTGTTGTTGGTGGTGGTGATGGTATTATTGTTGTTGTTGTTGGTGGTTGTGGGTGTCATTGTTGTTGTTGTTGGTGGTTTGTGGTGGTGGTATTGTTGTTGGTGGTGGTGGTGATGGTGGTATTGTTGTTGTTGTTGGTGGTTTGTGGTGGTGGCATTGTTGTTGTTGGTGGTGGTGGTATTGTTGTTGGTGGTGGTGGTGATGGTGCTGTTGTTGTTGTTGTTGGTGGTGGTGGTGGTGATGGTGGTATTGTTGTTGTTGTTGGTGGTGGTGGTGTTATTGTTGTTGTTGTTGTTGGTGGTGGTGATGGTGGTATTATTGTTGTTGTTTTTGGTGGTGGTGGTGGTGGTGGTGGTGGTACTGCTGTTGTTGTTGTTGATGGTGGTTCTAGTTGAATGTGGGTGCATTGTCCGTGACTTGCTAGTGATAGATAGGTGGGTTGGTGGTGGTATTGATCTTGTTGTTGTTGGTGGCGTTGGTATTGTTGTTGTTGTTGGTGGTGGTGATTGTATTGTTGTTGTTGGTGGTGGTGGTGGTGGTGGTACTGTTGTTGTTGTTGTTGGTGGTGGTTGTATTGTTGTTGTTGTTGGTGGTGGTGGTTGTATTGTTGTTGTTGTTGTTGGTGGTGGTGGTGGTGGTACTGTTGTTGTTGTTGTTGGTGGTGGTTGTATTGTTGTTGTTGTTGTTGGTGGTGGTGGATTGTGTTATTTGTTGTTGGGTGGTGGTGGTGGTGGTATTGTTGTTGTTGTTGGTGGTGGTGGTGGTTGTATTGTTGTTGTTGTTGTTGGTGGTGGTGTATTGTTGTTGTTGTTTGTTGTTGGTGGTGGTGGTGGTGGTATTGTTGTTCTTGTTGGTGGTGGTGGTGATTGTATTGTTGTTGTTGGTGGTGGTGGTGGTGGTATTGTTGTTCTTGTTGGTGGTGGTGGTATTGTTGATGTTGGTGGTGGTGATGGAATTATTGTTGGTGGTGGTGGTAATGGTTATTTGTTGTTGCTGGTGGTGTTGGTGGTTATGGTGGTGGTGGTGGTGGTATTGTTGTTGCTGGTGGTTGTGGTATTGTTGTTTAGCTGTGGTGTTGGTGGTTGTGGTATTGTTATTGTTGGTGGTGGTGGTGGTGGTATTGTTGTTTGTTGTTGCTGGTGGTGGTGGTTATTGTTGTTGTTGTTGTTGGTGGTGGTGTGGCATTGTTGTTGTTGTAGCTGGTGGTGGTGAGGTATTGTTGTTGTTGGTGGTTTGTGGATTGTTATTGTTGTTGGTGGTGGGGATTGGTATTGTTGTTGCTGGTTGTGTTGGTGGTTATGGTATTGTTATTGGTGGTGGTGGTGGTGGTATTGTTGTTGTTGGTGGTGGTGGTATTGTTGTTGTTGTTGTTGGTGGTGGTGGTGGTGATGGTATTGTTTTATTGGTGGTGGTGGTGGTATTGTTGTTGTTGTTGTTGTTGGTGGTGGTGAGGTGGTGGTGATGGTATTGTTTTGTTGGTGGTGTGGTGGTGTTGGTGATGGTGTTGTTGTTGGTGGTGGTGGCATTGTTTGTTGTTGTTGGTGGTGGTGGTGCTGGCATTGTTGTTGTTGGTGGTGGTGGTTGTTATTATTGTTGTTGATGTTGTTGGTGGTGGTGGTATTGTTGTTGTTGTTGGTGGTGTGGTGGTGGTGATGGTATTGTTGTTGTTGTTGGTGGTGGTGATGGTATTATTGTTGTTGTTCTTGGTGGTGATGGCATTATTGTTGTTGATGTTGTTGGTGTTGGTGGTATTGTTGTTGTTGTTGTATAATTAAATCAGACTAACTTAATTTTACTATGAAATTAGTATGGAACGTGGAGAAACAGTAACTGCATAATCAGGAATTTATATAATGTCAATTAAATAAAATATTAATTCATGAGTGACAGGATTAATTACCAGTTGTATATTTAATCAATATATCGAGAATATTTTTTATACGAACCTTATCAACATAAAACTATATATTAATCATAGAGAGTAAATTAATTCAGGTCTGACACAAATACAACTTGTGAATTAATATGGCTGCCAGCCTTGCCCAACACACCTTAGCAAAATCACCTTTCAAACTTACCGACACCTGATCCATTCATTATCGCCAACAGAAGGCTAACAATAAAACAGAAAAAAAAAGCTTCTGTTACAACGGCAAGTGTGTGTAATTGGCAATTTCTGTTGTGTCTGTGATATAATCCGGTGAATTATTGAGGCGGGTCCAATTAGCGCGTGCCCTTGTTGCTTGTAAACTACGTCGGAGCTGAGATGCCAATGAGCAATTATTAAATAATGTGGGGAGTGGGGCGGTGGGTGGGGTGTGGGGGGGTCTGGGCTGACGAGTTGAGGTTTTGTTGATATAAGTCACTTTTGTTTTACTGTTACGTTTGATTAGATATATTGTCTTGTATGTCTTGTATGTCTGTTTGTTTGTGTGTGTGTGTGTGTGTGTGTGTGTGTGTGTGTGTGTGTGTGTGTGTGTGTGTGTGTGTGTGTCCTTTGTGTCTGTCATTATGGGATTGAGTTGTGGGTTTGGGTGATCAAGTAGGCATGTTGGTCTAATATAAAAACTTTCTTTTACTCTCTCTATTATATTGTTAGTTTCTGAACATGAATATCTATACGTTCCTGTCTTTTATCTGTCCCTTTTTCTATATATTTAACTACGCATCTATTCGTTGGTGTCTATCCCTGTCTATTGTCTATACGAGATAGTGTCTCTCTTCGTCTGGACAGGAGGTGCTAGGGCGGAAATTCGTGAGATTTTAGACTGGTAGAAATGATAGCACAAGTCTTTGAATTAGTGAACTTATATTTTTCCATTATGTATGTTAGTTAGACATTTTACTCTGCGTTTGTTTATCTGTCCAAGTCATTGTTTCCAGCTGGGGTCTATGGACACAGGGATCCATGGGCCTGAGGGTCCATGGGCCTGAGGAATCATGGGTTTGACTTGAAAATCACTTTTGGTACTGGATGATGTCAAATGTTACCATCACTCTGGTAATGGTAATTTTATTTTTGTTTTGGGAAAAATGAAAAGACTCCACAGGAACTTTTGAGTTCCCAAGGGCGGGAGTAAAGATTGGGAGCCACTGGTACCCTGTCTTTGTATGTTATGTTTTGGTTACTCTGATTAGCTAAAGTTTTCTCCTGTATGTGATACTGAATCAAGGGATACTGTTATAATTAATCGCTGCCTTTGCTGTCAACGCTCTGTAAGCTCTACGGGTACAGTATATCCGATTTATATAAAGTTAAGCGAAATGGCTTTTTAAGACGTGTGACGATTGAAAACACAAAAATGTAAATATATTTATTATTATTATTATTATTATTATTATTATTATTATTATTATTATTATTATTATTATTATTATTATTATTTATTTTAACGTTTGTTCAATTGTTCATTACCCTTCTTGTCATTATTATTGTTAATATTATTATAGTTATTTCTATAATTATTAAATCATCATAATCACTTATTTTTATGTAATGAAAACACAATTGTTACTTAATATATCGATGATTTACCAAGAACATATTATTATACATTATCACAGTGATATTATTCACCTGGGTATTACAGAATATTTTCATTATCCAGGGTTTGGATAATGAAAAGTTCCTATGATAATTATTTACTTCCGATTGGAAAACCTGAACATAGCCTAATTATTTCTGCTTAGTCTAAAGCTAAAAATATGGAGACCACAGTGACGTCGACAGTACAATGAGACTCGGCAATGATTAGAAACATTCCTTGGCTTAAATCTAATTCAAAAGGAAAAATAGACCCGCGTATCATTGAAAATCTGAATCTCGAGGATTCATTCTCCGAAATCTCAAGCTGTATTCTCTCATCATAAGAGGCCGTATTAGAGGTGAAGGAGAGGCCAGATCTGATATAGCCTGAAGCCTCCATCATTACCCAGCTGGATCAACACAGCCCGGGATAAGTATGTTTACATTTGCGACGTCACAGCGGGTAAGATCATCTGATCGCAAGGGGCAAAGTGTTTTGGTGGCAGGACTGACCTCTTCC